AAAATTAGCCAGGCATGGTGGCGCATGCCTGTAATCCCAGCTACTTGGGAGGCTGAGGCAGTACAATCACTTGAACCTGAGAGGCAGAAGTTGCAGTGAGCCAAGATCACGCCATTGCACTCTAGCCTGAGCAACAATAGTGAAACTCTGTCCCAAAAACAAAAACAAAAAACACATGAAATTACTTTTTCTCACACTTGGTTCACTGTAGTTTTGATTCTGAGGACATCTAGTCTCTTTTCCAGGAAACTCATTCTCCTCACCCGGGCCCCTGCGACTTGCTTCCACTGAATCTAACTGTAGGACTCAATCGCTTCACTAACAGGCAACAAATGTGTCTTGTTAGCTATGTCATAAAACAGACATTTTCAGGGGGTGGGGGAAGCAAAAAAAAAAAAATACATTTTCAATAGCATAAACACATCCTTGCAAACAACATGCTTGCAAAATTCTTGAGATTTTGAAATTCAGGGAAGAGAGAAAAGAGGAATTGCACAATTAATTTATTGAGTTTTTGGGCAACATACTGGTTAGAAAAAAAAAAAAAAACTAACCATCTCTTTTTTTTTTTTTTTTTTTTTTTTTTTTTTTGAGACGGAGTTTCGCTCTTGTTACCCAGGCTGGAGTGCAATGGCGCGATCTCGGCTCACCGCAACCTCCGCCTCCTGGGCTCAGGCAATTCTCCTGCCTCAGCTTCCTGAGTAGCTGGGATTACAGGCACGTGCCACCATGCCCAGCTAATTTTTTGTATTTTTAGTAGAGACGGGGTTTCACCATGTTGACCAGGATGGTCTCGATCTCTTGACCTCGTGATCCACCCACCTCAGCCTCCCAAAGTGCTGGGATTACAGGCTTGAGCCACCGCGCCCGGCTCTAACTATCTCTTTTAAGTCTATAAAGATAAGTTTAAGGGGAAAGATTGATTGTCCACAAATATGGGTTTAATCACCACAAACTATATCAAAACACAACTGAAAATTGTTGTTTATGATACAAGAAATTTTAAGAAGAGTAGCCATTTGTAGAAATATATCCTAATCAATTAATTTTAAATGCCAGCAAAGATTTAGCTGCAGGAATATTCATTATAGCATTAGTTTGTTTACATTAGCAAAAGTTTGGAAACAACCAGAATACTCAACTAGAATTGGTTAGCTGTTGTTCCATCAATATAATTCATATTTAACATATGGATATTAAAAATGGGCCGGACGCGGTGGCTCAAGCCTGTAATCCCAGCACTTTGGGAGGCCGAGGCGGGTGGATCACGAGGTCGAGAGATCGAGACCATCCTGGTCAACAAGGTGAAACCCCGTCTCTACTAAAAATACAAAAAGTTAGCTGGGCATGGTGGTGCGTGCCTGTAATCCCAGCTACTTAGGAGGCTGAGGCAGGAGAATTGCCTGAGCCCAGGAGGCGGAGGTTGCGGTGAGCCGAGATCGTGCCATTGCACTCCAGCCTGGGTAACAAGATCGAAACTCCGTCTCAAAAAAAAAAAAAAAAAAAAAAAAAAAAATATATATATATATATATATATTTTAGAAAATTATATGGAAAAAGGTCTCCAACAAACCATCACATAAAAAACAGATCTCAGAACAAAATATGCACCATGACTAGTTTTTGCAAATTTTAAGAAACAAAAAATAAAATACGTACATACATTTTTTAGAACAGGGTCTTTCTCTGTCAACCAGGCTAGAATGCAGTGGGGTGATATGCAGATATACTGATACACATACACATATATACATATGCACAGAAAAACAAAACCCTGGACATGTATACAGCAAAATGTTAATATTTGGTAATTATCTATGAGATTTTTGTTTGTTTCCGATTTAACTAAATTTTCTAAATGTTTCACATGTCACATTTATAAGAAAAAAACAGTAAATATTTTATGCATATGTAAATATTTTTTGCCCACCTGCAACTATCTTGATTGAGATATATATATATATATATATATGACTACCCAATGATGTTTAAAAATATATGTAAAAATACATACATATATATATATATATATATATATATGTATATATATTTTTTTTTTTTTTTTTTTTTTAGGCAGTTTCGCTCGTTACCCAGGCTGGAGTGCAATGGCACGATCTCGGCTCACCGCAACCTCCGCCTCCTGGGTTCAAGTAATTCTCCTGCCTCAGCCTCCTGAGTAGCTGGGATTACAGGCATGTGCCACCAGGCCCAGCTAATTTTTTGTATTTTTAGTAGAGACGGGGTTTCACCATGTTGACCAGGATGGTCTCGATCTCTCAACTTTGTGATCCACCCGCCTCAGCCTCCCAAAGTGCTGGGATTACAGGCTTGAGCCACCGCGCCCGGCCTCCTATCTCTATTTCTAAAAGTGAAAAAAAAAAAAAAAAAAAAGAATAAGGCCAGGTGCCATGGCTCACGCCTATAATCCCAGCACTTTGGGAGGCCAAGGCGGGTGGATCACCTGAAGTCGGGAGTTCAAGACCAGCCTGGCCAACATGGCAAAATCCCATCTCTACTAAAAACATAATAATTAGCCGGATGTGGTGGCAGGCACCTGTAATCCTAGCTACTCAGGAGCTGAGGCAGGAGAACCCAGGAGATGGACATTGCAGTGAGCCAAGATTGTGCCACTGTACACCAGCCTGGGCGACAAGAGCGAGACTCCATCTCCAATAAATAAATAAAACAAAACAAAACAAAATCAAATAAAAATCAGCCAGGCGCGGTGGCTCACCTCTGTAATCCCTGAACTTTGGGAAGCCAAGGTGGGCGGATCACGAGGTCAGGAGTTCGAGACCAGCCTGGCCAACATAGGGAAACCCTGTCTCTACTAAAAATACAAAAATTAGCTAGGCATGGTGGTGCACACCTGTAGTCCCAGCTACTAGGGAGGTGAGGCAGGAGAATCGCTTGAACATGGGAGGCAGAGGTTGGAGTGAGCGAAGATTGTGCCACCGAACTCCACCCTGGCCATCATGGTGAAACCCCATCTTTATATATATATATATAAAGAAATGGCATCACTATCCATAACTGAAAAACAGGCTCATTCTCCTCACCCCGGCCCCTGCAACTTGCTTCCGCTGAATCTAAATATACAGTAACTGTAGCACTCAATCGCTTCACTAATAGGCAACAAATGTGTCTTGTTAGCTATGTCATAAAACAGACATTTTCCCAAAGTGCTGGGATTAGAGGTGTAAGCCACCACACCTGGTCCAACTGCACATTTTTTTTTTTCAGTGCTGTAATGCTGTATTTATTAATGTTGATGTTATATTTATTATAATATGAAACTATAGTGCACACTAAAATAACAACTCATTTTTTCTCACAACGATTCTTTTTTTTATTTTTATTTTTTATTGCATTTTAGGTTTGGGGGTACACGTGAAGAACATGCAAGATTGTTGCATAGGTACACACATGGCAGTGTGATTTGCTGCCTTCCTCCCCTTCACCTATATCTGGCATTTCTCCCAAGCCTATCTCTTCCCCACGCCCCCGTCCTTCCCCCATTTTCCCCCAACAGATCCCAATGTGTAGTGCTCCCCTCCCTGTGCCCATGTGTTCTCATTGCTCAACAATGAGTGAGAACATGCGGTGTTTGATTTTCTGCTCTTGTGTCAGTTTGCTGAGAATGATGGTTTCCAGGTTCATCCAGGTCCCTACAAAGGACACGAACTCATCGTTTTTGATGGCTGCATAATATTCCATGGTGTATATGTACCACATTTTCCCTGTCCAGTCTATTATCTATGGGCATTTGGGTTGGTTCCAGGTCTTTGCTATTGAAAACAGTGCTGCAAATAACTCATATTGAGGTTTTCGATATGACCAAGGTATGATTCTTTTTGTGTGTGTGGGATTGGGAGGAGGGCTAGAACAGTTTTTTCACTCTTGTTAATTTTCTGTTGATTCTACCTATCACTAATCTTCATTATGGCAAGATACCCGGTTTTCCTATGAAGATCAAATGTGGTAGTGGAGCAATAAAGCAAAGGCATAGGACGGCAGGAGGATTCCGGCTTCTTTTTTCCCCTCCTGAGGAAGGAGGGTCTCTAATACTCCGCAGTAGAGAAGACAATTCTATTTATGAAGGGTAATCTGCTACAACCGAGAGCCCTGAACGATTCCATCAGCCCGATACGCGGGCTGCTTTCCTACTCTCCACCAGAGGCGACAGCCTCTTTCCAAACAGAAACTTGGTTGCAATACGCCCGGTCGGGGGAGCGGCCAGAAGAAAGATCAAAGGTGAAAAACCTCCTGAAAAAGGCCGGGCGCAGTGGCTCACGCCCATAATCCCAGCACTCTGGGAGGCCGAGGCGGGTGGATCACGAGGTCAAGAGATCGAGACCACCCTGGTCAAAACGGTGAAACCCTGTCTCAACTAAAAATACAAAAAAAAATTAGCTGGGCATGGTGGCGCGCGCCCGTAATCCCAGCTACTCGGGAGGCTGAGGCAGGAGAATTGCTTGAACCCAGGAGGTGGAGGTTGCGGTGAGTCAAGATCGCGCCATTGCTCTCCAGCCTGGGTAACAAGAGTCAAACACCGTCTCAAAAAAAAAAAAAAAAAAACCGCCTGAAACAAAGAGCAAAGGTCAATACCCAACTCCTAAGGAGGCCTGAAACTTTCCTCTGTTAGGAAACGGGAAGGTGACTCCTCCCTGACATCGGGGCCTGGGGCCACTCAGCCTTCCAGAGACCGGGCGGGTCCGCGGTGAGTAACAGGTAGCACCGGCTGAGCCGCCGCCGACCGGAAGTGGAAGAGAGCCTGGGGCGGGGAGAGTACCGGCCGCGGCACGCCTGCGCAGTCAGCAGGCGTTACAGTGCTCATGCGCAGCTGGGCGGTGACGGCATGACGCTTGGAGCGTGGGCCGCGACTCTCACGGATCCGGTTCCGCCCTCCCTGTGGCTGCCGATCCTTCGGAGCGAGCGCCCCAGATCCCTTTCCCAGAGTGCTCTGCGCCGTGAAGAAGCGGCTCCCGGGGACTGGGGGCATTTTGTGTTGGCTGGAGCTGGAGTAACAAGATGGCGTCGTCGGCGGAGTGACAGGGGTCCCTCCGGGCCGGAGCCAGCGGCAGTGCTGGCAGTGGTATAGCCGCCCTAGCTCACCGCGCCCCTTTTTCTGCCCGTGACGTCGCCGCTCAAGCGGGGCATCGGCGGCCGCCGGGAAACAAGTGGCCCAGCCTGGTAGCCGCGAGAAGCCCTTCACAGACTGCGGCCTGGCAAAAAGAAACCTGACTGTGATCAGCGGCGGCGATCAGGTTCCCCTCGGCTGATTCTGGGCCCCGAACGCCGGTAAAGGCTTCTGTGTTCCGTTTCCTGCCGCCTTCCTCCGTAGCCTTGCCCGGTGGAGGAGCTCGAGAGGTCTCCGTCTTCCCCTCAGAGGTGTCGGGGCTCGGCCCCAGCCTCCATCTTCGTCTCTCGGGATGGCGAGCAGCAGCGGCTCCAAGGCCGAATTCATTGTCGGAGGGAAATACAAACTGGTACGGAAGATCGGGTCTGGCTCCTTCGGGGACATCTATCTGGCGATCAACATCACCAACGGCGAGGTAATCACCTGGGGTAGGGTTCACGGTAACGCTGGGCATTTCCTCATCCCCTGCCCCCACCACCGCGCACCCCTCAAGTGCTCGGGCCTCTCCCCACCGCACGCACTCGTCAGGGAGCCCAGAGAGCGAGTTTTCCTGGCTTTTGAACCTCTTCCGCTCTTTTTCCCTAAAAGGATCAAGAACCCGATAGAAAGGCTGGGGAAGGTTCCCAGCTGGTTAAACACGTCCCATAAATGTCCCTTAGTCGAACCGTTTCGACTAACCGTTTTTGTTTTTTTTTTTAACCGTTTTTTAAGGTGGAAAGGGCAAAATCCTATTTCTGTGATTCCCATGCTTTTTATTTTATTTTTAATTCTACTGGCCTCTTACTCCAATTAGAACGGTTTCCGATCGCCTAGTTCCTTAAAAATGTCTCATTACGTTCAGAGGTTGCCTCTTTTTTTTCCGGATGAATCATTGTTCTGCACTTTAGAGGAGGTACGGATTTCGTCACTATCCCCTGAAGAGGCCTTTGAGGCTAGTTGCCTCGTTTTATGATTACGGAGCGCTTTCTCTTTCCAGTCTTTCGCTTTTTCCCTGTAATCGCGACTTGGAGTTTTGCTCATGTCTCTCCCTCCTTTCCTAAGTGACATTGAATCCGTAGGGATGTTGATGCCATCATCCCTCTTTCCCCTGCAGGAAGTGGCAGTGAAGCTAGAATCTCAGAAGGCCAGGCATCCCCAGTTGCTGTACGAGAGCAAGCTCTATAAGATTCTTCAAGGTGGGGTTGGCATCCCCCACATACGGTAAGAACTCTCAGCTTATGGGCGATCCGCTGAGGGAAGCACGGAATGGGGAAGTGGGTAGAGGCAGGTAAGGAGACCAGCTGAATCCAGGTCTTGGTGTTTCAGTTACCTGGGTTCCCTCCAGCTAGTGGCTTCCTGTAAGTCAGTCACCGCAATCACTGAGTAAATTTCAGTTTGCCAACTTAGTTTAAAATTTCATTGTATTACACTGTGCCCCATTTCGCTTCCGTCATTTCAACCTCCTCCCGAGGCTTTCATTTGCAGTAAAGCGTGCAGGTCGTCTTTGATCCCCACGCGGAAGGTTTGGCTTCTGCCTTTTTACGGCGGCACGTCTGATGTTCTTAGGTTTGTCCAGTGAAGTGGATTTGAAGGTGCCGAAGCGACACGGCAGTGTCATTTCGGGTTGCTATTGGAGCTGGCTTGGGAAATGGCTGCTCTTTTGTTGTGTTTTTGTTCCAACATGTCTTCCTCCTCCGCTTAGAAAATGGCGGAACGACGTGACTCAACCCCATATTCCTGCCCTTTTCTCAGCTTGGGTTCACAAATTATGCTTCCTTGATACCTCCTTTAGCAGCCCCAAGTGGATTAAACCTTTGAAAAAGTCAAGAATAAAGCTGCAGGAGGCAGTGGGGTTCGAGGAAGGACATGGCATAGTGACAGTGTTTGTGATCTCTGCAGCAGATGTGATACCAAACTGTTGAATTATACTATGTAAAATCCTTTTAGAAGTGTTGATTACTCTTTCCTTTAGTGAATGGTCATGTTTGTCACATTTCAGTCGGAACTAAATTTGTATAGGTAGTGGCAAAGGCAGTTTGAGCACCACCAACTATGTTAAAATGTACTCAAATCAGTTGTATTAAAAGAAAGCTTAATCACTTAGCCACACTTTGATAAGTAATTGTAACCTGTTGAATTTATCAGTAAATCTTAACATCAGAGAAATTGTAGCCTTTTTTGGTGTGGAATATTGGTGAGTACAAATAGTGGTAATGAGGATACAAAGTGACGAGATAGAAACACATTGTTCTGTCAACTCTGGAGGGTTTAAGAGTAATGTTTTGACTTTGGGGATTAAAGAGCCTGTTCACGGAAGAAGGACTAAAATATAGTTTAAAACCCAGCTGTTTTCCAGCAATAATAAAAAAATTTGCAAAAATTTTCAGAATAGTTGAGAATGGTATTTGCTGTTTACTGGAACTTCTTTGTTTTGTTTTGAGATGGAGTTTTCGCTCTTACCACCTAGGTTGGAGTGCCGTCACACGATCTCTGCTCACTGCAACCTGCCCCTCCCGGGTTGAAGCGATACTTGTGCCTTAGCCTCCTGACTAGCTGGGACTACAGGCTCGTGCCACCACGCCCAGCTAATTTTTTGTATTTTTAGTAGATATGGGGTTTCACCATCTTAGCCAGATGGTCTCCATTTCCTGACCTCGTGATCCGCTCTCGGCCTCCCAAAGTGCTGGGATTATAGGTGTGAGCCACGGCGCCCGGCCTAATTTTTGTATTTTTAGTAGAAAAGGGGTTTCACCATGTTGGCCAGGCTGGTCTGGAACTCCTGACCTCAGGTCATTCTCCCACCTCAGCCTCCGAAAATGCTGGAATTATGGGTGTGAGCCACCAATCCTGGCTTTTTTTCTTTTGAGACGGAGTCTTACTCTGTTGCCCAGGCGGGAGTGCAGTGGCACCATCTCGGCTCACTGCAACCTTCACCTCCCGGGTTCAAGCGATCCTCCTGCTGTTGCCCAGGCTGGAGTGCAGTGGCACCATCTCGGCTCACTGCAACCTTCGCCTCCCGGGTTCAAGCGATCCTCCTGCCTCAGCCTCCTAAGTATCTGGAATTACAGGCCTGCGCCACCACGCCCAGCTAATTTTTGTGTGTTTAGTAGAGACAAGGTTTTGCCATGTTGGCCAGGGTGGTCTCGAACTCCCGACCTCAGGTGATCTACTGGCACGGCTTTCCAAAGTGCTGGGGTTATAGGCGTGAGGCACTGTGCCAGGCTTGTAGCCCCCTTTTCTATTTCAAGTTTGTTTTTTTTTTTCTCAGATCTTGAATTAAGGACTGGATTGCATAGTCCTTACACGGAAACAACACAAATAAAACTATCCTTTAAAAAAGTTCCAAAGCTGTTAGTTTTTATTTTCTATTAAAATTTTTATTTTTTTATTTTTTAATTAAGGGACAGGGTTTCACTGTATTGGTCAGGCTGGTCTTGAACTCCTGACCTCAGGTGATCCACCTGTCTCAGCTTCCCAAAGTGCTGGGATTACAGGCGTGAGCCACGGGCCAGCCGTTAGTATTAACGGAGAACTGAATGATAAAATTTGCTATTGGTTGTAAATGGGCAGTTAAATCATTTGGAAGAAAACTCCAAATTTATCTTTTGAGGTAAAGATTAATGTGAAATCTAAGATGATACAGATTTGAGATTTTTATTTTGTTTATTTATTTATTTATTTTAAAGATGCAGTTTCACCCTGATGGCCAGGCTGGTCTTGAACTCCTGACCTCAGGTGATCCACCCACCTCGGCCTTCCAAAGTGCTAGAATTAAAGGCGTGAGCCACCGCGCCTGGCCTGATTTGAGGTTTTTAAATGGTTCTTGTCTTTAAAAAAATCATGTGTGGGAAAATAAGGCCCCTTACACCCACTGATGGCTTTCTGTCACTAGTTTTTCCTAGAATTTCTTAGAGATGGAATCATATGGTATGAGGTCATTTGTGTCTGGCACTTTTCACTTAGCATAATGTTTTTGAAATTATCTATGTTGGGAGATTTTATAAATTTCACAAATCAGGTTAAATTTAATATATTTGAAATCATTTTCAGAAAGCATTAAGCATTGCCATTTTCAGTGCTAAATCCAAGTTAAGTACATGTCCTTTTATCTGGTAGCTTTTATTTAATACCTGATACAGACTCATAAGGACAATGAGTAATGTACTGAATAAGCACATGAATAAATTAACTTCTGAGCTGAATAATAATAACAGGAGCCTATTATAAAATGGTGAGTACCAGAGAGTTCTGGTAGTTTTAAGCTCTCTGTGGGTGGGGCTAAACAGATTAACCTGGCTTTCAAATTAAGGCTTCCTGAGAGAGGAGATGGGATTTCAGGATCTGGCTCTGAGGAAGAAAGCTTGGTGAACTGGTTTGGGAAGGCATCCAAGAATAGAGTGTGGCTTCTGGGTGTAGTCTCTAAGGAGAATACAGTAATTGGATGAGGGTGTGGAAAGGGTAAATTTGCTTTAGGAGTGGGAGGGTCAGGTACATGGAAACAAAAGTGGTTTGTTGGTTTTAAAGTGAAATGTGAAGAAAAAGCAAAAACCTGTGTTTCCATTGAAGCAAAAAGGATAAAGATTTATATAAACATTCTTTATTTGGATAACAACATCTTCCCATCCCCTTCAGTTTGTTTGCCACTATTTCTGTATCACCCATACATGATACATACTTAATAAATATTTACTTGATAAGTATTGAATTAAGTTGACTGTTTACTTGTAGCTAGATAAAAGTTATGTATTATCCATTGTTTTAGAAGTATTGTCACTAATTTAAAATTTAGATTTTGCTGCCTTTACTCTTCATACACAAATTTGTTCAATCCCTTCCCTATGTTTTCTGTTACAAAACTCCCTGTAGGATTTGCTTTGCTTTTTTTATTTTTTATTTTTTTGAAACAGATTTTCGGCTGGGTGCGGTGGCTCAAGCTTGTAATCCCAGCACTTTGGGAGGCCAAGGCGGGTGGATCACGAGGTCGAGAGATCGAGACCATCCTGGTCAACATGGTGAAACCCCGTCTCTACTAAAAGTACAAAAAAAAAAATTGGCTGGGCATGGTGGCACATGCCTGTAATCCCAGCTACTCAGGAGGCTGAGGCAGGAGAATTGCCTGAACCCAGGAGGCGGAGGTTGCAGTGAGCCGAGATCGCGCCATTGCACTCCAGCCTGGGTAACAAGAGTGAAAACTCCGTCTCAAAAAAAAAAAAAGAAACAGAGTTTCACTCTTGTCACCCAGGCTAGAGTGCAATGGTGCAATCTCAGCTCACCACAATCTCTGCGTCCTGGGTTTAAGTAATTCTCCTGCCTCAGCCCCCCAAGTAGCTGGAATTACAGACATGTGCCACTACATTCGGCTAATTTTGTATTTTTTTAGTAGGGACGGGGTTTCTCCATGTTGGTCAGGCTGGTCTCAAACTCCCAACCTCAGGTGATCCTCCCATCTCGGCCTCGCAAAGTGCTGGGATTACCGGCATGAGCCACTGTGCCCGGCCGATTTGCTTTGCTTTTAAAATACTTTGGTATGTCTTACAACAGAGACTAAAAATTACCTGGGCTGCACAGATGACCTGCTTAATCAGGTCCTTCCTGTGTAATTTGAGAGACCTATTGTTAAGAAGCATAGCATCCAGAGTAAAGAGCCAGGATAATAAGCCAGGCGCAGTGGCTCACGCCTGTAATCCTAGCACTTTGGGAGGCAGAGGCGGGCGGATTGCCTGAGCTCAGGATTGTTCTGAGACCAGCCTGGGCAACACGTTGAAACCCCTACTCTACTAAAATACAAAAAAAAAAAAAAAAAAAAAAATTAGCCATGCATGGCTGTGTGCCTCTGTTGTCCCATCTACTCAGGAGGCTGAGGCAGGAGAATTGCTTCAATCCAGGAGGTGGAGGTTGCAGTGAGCCAGGATTGTGCCACTGCACTCCATCTCAAAAAAAAAAAAAAAAAAAGGATGAGAGAATGACATCCATTCTCTTGATATTTTAAAAAATAAAGCTTCTGATTCTAGGCTCTTCGGGAGCTGCGGCTTAAGGTGCCAGCATGGCCAAGTCCAAGAACCACACCACACACAACCAGTCCTGAAAATGGCACAGAAGTGGTGAACTCCAAGTTCCTGGGGAACATACACTTTGCCAAAGAAGCACAAGGAGGGCCTAAAGAAGATACAGGGCAACAATTCCAAGGCCATGATTGCACGTGCTGAGGCTTTTAAGGCCTT